GCCTCGTTACTCCCTGCTAATTACTAATTCTGATTCTTCCTTCCTGTGCAGATCATGTTCAGGATTCTTTTGCCGTATGAAGTGGAGAGCTGCCAATCTACCAGTCGCTGGAGTGGTCTTGGTGTGTTTTGCTGGACAACAGATTATCACGCCAGTTGGGAGATTTTGTGTAATGATCTGTTCCTTTTTCACCCCGTAGTTCCTGTGGCATGGTAGTTTTAGAGGGATCGTACAGATCTTGGTAAAGAAAAGAAAGGCAAGATCAAGACACCGAAAATATGAAGTAATTAGGTTTTGCTGAATATTGATGGAATCTGGCGACTTTCAAACTAATTCGTGGTCTGTACGAACTTGTTCATTGTATTTACTTACCACGATTAGTTGTTTTAGGGTCATTTCTGCCTACTTTGTTTTTACCCCCATCTTTTCTTCGTTTCAGTTTGATAAGAGAGGATTGTTTTATCATTAGGAGATGTGTTAGTTGCTGACTCAAATTGGATGAGTCACTTAAGTAGTTATGTTTCTCTTGGTAACAGGTCAATCACCAGTTTCTGCTGCTGGAATAGCCACCTTCCTTTACCTACAAGCTGACCTTCATTATCTTCATGCTCTAATAAGTGATAGGATAATCTTTCTGATTGCTGGCTTGAATTATTGATATGCACTACTTGCAATGACTCCTCCGTCGAGTTCCCCTCATCACCCAATTTGCCATTTTTTTTTGTATGAACTTTGAATTTTTCTCTTAGATAATGGAAAGAATTTTGAACTATGTTTTAAAAATTCCATTTACCTAGTTCCGGTAGAAGGAATGTGCCCCCGTAACAACCTATGCTTAATAGCCCCCGTAACAACCTATGCTTAATAATTGTTGGTTACATGAGCTTAAAACGCAGTGACGAAGTTTTGCCGAGGCTTAACAATAGATTGATATAATTTATTTTATGCATGTCACAAACCACACCGTAAATGCGAACCTTAATATATACTCAAGGAATCGGAGACTAAAACCTTAATATACGCTAAAATTAATATCCAGCGGCAAATCACTAGCCTCGTTATAATTTTAAACCCAATCGTTGTATTGTTGACATATACATATATAATATGAAAGCTGTCATTATAAGATGGGTTATGTATGATCTTATCATTTGTTTAGTTATATGCAATAGATATATGTAATACTAGGCAAAAAGTAAAGGCGATATTGAAAAAAAAAATTCAATTGGCTAGTTGTGTTGAAAAGTACGATTGTGTCCTTGTCGATTGGTTTTGCCTTATAGGTTCTTCTTCACGTCAAATTCGGGATAGAGATCAATTAGAACACAAAAAACGCCTCCCATGAAAGGAAACCCAAGACCCAACGAAATTCTTCGACCCGAACTCCGACTTTACTGATTTGACCAGCCAGATGATGCTAGTCAAATCAGCCCATAAGCGGCGGTCAAAGCGGCCGGTCCTATGAAGGAAACCCGACGCTTTCTAAATTTTGACAATATTTTTCTATCTTGAATCTAGGTGCTAACGCACATAAGTGAAGAGCGGCCCAAGAGGAGGGAAGTGAGGCTGTGATTCGCGTAACTTGGGCTTCTCCCTAGCCTAACACTTGGCTTCAGTGGACAGCGATTGCCCTTGCCTTTCTCATGCCTGCTGCCACCTGCAAGTGCCTAGACACGAGAGGGGCAGATGAAATCATTTTGGGATTTTTCTTTTTGAACCTGAAGGAGATTTGACGACACGCGAGATGGACGGAGATGTATCAAGCTATGCGGTAAAAGCATCTCCAATTTTTATAATAGTAGAGATATGCAATATATATAATATGCATAATAATCCACTAGTGTTATGGGCCTCCCTTGAGACAAAGTAAACTTGCATCGTGTTCTGCGCGAGTACCAATTTTACGTTTGAGATCTCCCCTTCCTATAAATCCGAGACATTTGAATGGGACCTAGCTCATCATGTCAACTTTGGTTTTTATTCTTAAATGTTGGAAGAAAATATAAATCGGACGCTCAATTTCCTTAAAAATTGTGCGGTCAAATATTTTAAATATTTTAGTTGACCACCAGGTGATACATTAAGATTAAGTTATATGTGGTGAAAAAAAACCCCCAACAATTTCAACATTAAAAAAAATTCTAGTTGAAACATTTCACTATCACATATGAAACACATAGTTTTAACGGTTTGAAATATATGTTTTTCTAATCAGAATATAATCAAGTGATATGTTGTTGTAAAAATTTAATTTCAACGAACACAATGACGTGATAGGATAAATAGTTTAGGGGAAAAACTATTTTGAAGATCGTTACATCCATGCATAGATGGAGGGGAGAGAGAGCAACTAGTATGACAGAAGAGAGTAATTATAGGTGGCTACACGGTTTTGCTATTGAAACATTATATTGCTGCGGAAATTCCTAAGTAACTTTTAATATTTTTTTAATAATCAAGCTAAAAGTAAAAATTATATTTGTTATTAACAACAAATAAAACTGATTTGTCAAACTATGTTCAGAGAAAAATACATTTAGTAATCTCTGTATGAGATTGTATATGAAATATAACGTCCCGCACTTTGATTATACGGATGAATATATGTTAAGGATTATAAAAATGATGGATATATACATGTGTTGATGTAAAAACACGAGGCGTGGGAGATCTGCTTAACTCCAGTGCAGGTTCAAAAGCTTGCATTTAGGTTCGTGAGCGTTCCAGTTGATTTGATCCTGTAATCAACAAGAGACAAAGACAAAGAAACCGCGGTTAAATCCATAAACGATAGCCGATCGGCTAGTTGCCGATGACGTATCATTTATTTTTGAGCCGATGTCATATGTGAATTGATTGGCAATCATGCATAAGTAAGAAAGAACTAAATCTATTCGATCGGCTGTAGATATTAACAATACATAATCCTCATGTCGATATATACTTAAATCAAGTGATTGGGATAGATCGGTCGCCGTGCCGAGACAGTATGAATCACTTAGATCAAAATATATATTAACAACAAGACTATATATGTTCGTAGCATAGCCGATCAGATAGATCTAGCGTGTATCGGCTAATACTCCGATACTACTCTATATTAAGATATTAAAGCAAATAAAATATACTAAACAAAAAGCCTAATATACTTAAATGCAACAAGATCTTAACATAAAGGGCATATTTAACATGTCAATCGAGCATATAAGAAAAAGGTAGTTAAATCAGGTAAGATCGGCTGAAACTCCGATGCTACCCTAATCGGCAACCAAAAGCAGGCTAGAGATTGAGATTCTAATCACGACTCATAAGATCAAACCCAACTGATGCAGCTATAAGTATGAAAAGAAGGACAATATCTAGACAATCAAGCCGTTGGATGTTTCATAGAGTGGTTGATATCCTATATAATCTAAGTCAACGTCAGTATTTGACCTAATCGGCTGCCTTCTAGTAACAGACGTTAGCCGATTAGAAGTTAGCGATATTGCCAGAGATTATATAAGATATATGATAATTCAACGAATTACATAAACAAGATTAGAGTATCATAAAGATAGAAGCACTAATCCCGAGAACGCAAGCTGCCATAACAAGTTTTACCTCTAGTTGAAGATCGAAACCGATGCAGCTCAATCCGAAATCAAGAACTCGTCGAAACAAAACGAAAGTAAAAAGGGTGGCGATGCGCCGAGATTGTATTAAACGTGTGTTAGATAATTACATGGGGCTCGGGGTCTATTTATACCCGAGATTACAAAACATGTCCATATCGGACACGACTCTTATCTCTAACAAATTCTAAGATACCATAAGTCTTTGCGGCAGACTTTTGCCTAAACATATCTCTAAAGAAATTACATAAAATATCCTAGTTAATAGATATAATTGCCTTCTCAGGACTCTATCCATGCACGGAAATCCTCATGAAGCTCATCAACCTAACCCGACAACGTATACCGTGTCACATTGTCAGATTCAACTCAATCGGCTGACCTTTTTCGACTCGAACTTTGCTGATTAAGGTCGCAGCCGATTCGGACTTAGCCGATTCTTGCTCTGTTCCCGAAACGATCTTGGACTTGGATTCCGCTTCGATCTGATCTCTATCTTCAATATTCATATTACCAAATTTGGTTGTTAACATGTTAAAAATATTTTGAAAAATAATGTGAAGGAAGATGATTGAATGTTGATTTGTAGAATTCAATGAATTATAGATGATGTTGCATGCTTGCATAAGTTTTGCATGTAATTATTGCTAGCGGATGATGAGGTGACATGTCTGTATATTGAGCTTTAGGATTAGTGGATTATTAGTAAGAGATGATACATGGTGAAACAAGAAAAAAAATCAGCCATTGAAACATTTATTTTTTCAAAACACAGTGAAAATACACGTTAAAAAACGCGAATGCGTAAAAGGATTGCACGTCAATATATTAGAAGAAAAGAGTTATAGTTACACAACACAATCAGCCAGACTGGAGTGAAAATACATGTTGAAACATGTCATTATCACGATGAAACATTGAGTTTGAATGGTTTGGAACATATTTTTTTCATCAGAATATAATCATGTGGTATTTTGTTGTAAAAGTGTAATCATGACGAATACAACGATGTGATTAGATCGTAGATTTGATAAGTGGAGTAGTTTAGAAGAAGCATTATTTTAAAATTTTCACGTGCATTCATGAATAGAGTAGTTAACAGATGGTTGCATGGAGCATCTGATCCATCAGGCGATCCATCCGTAGCTTTCTCTTAAAATGTTCCCTTATTTGCTTCAAAATTCAATATCATCTTTAAAAATTGACAATATTAATAAATTAATTATGTAAAATTTTAATTCCAAATTCAATTAATAGATAAAGAATTAATTAAACTCAAAGTGGTAGAAGAACTATTTAGTCAGATTATTTTAACTTGTATGGGTTGAATATGAGCTTGAATATTGGTGGAGTGATACATCGCTAAATTACCTACTTTCACAATTTTGAAGTATGTTATAAACTACTCTCACAATTTTTATAGTACATGCATTTTTCCTTAAAGCAAAATGACTTCCCTAACCATCCTCGGCACCTCCAAATCGCCCTAAAAACTTGGAATGCATGCGCGGTGCGCGTTCCGCCTCACACGCCTCCGTCGGGAGCCAGACGCCGAGCCGGGACGAGCGGGCAAACAGGGAAAAAGCGTGTGCGCGGCGAAGGTCCATGAAGGCGGCGCCGGCGCCGGCGACGCGCAAATGGGGACGTACAAGTGCTGCATCTTCTTCACCCGCAGGTTCGCGCTGAGCGACGCGTCCACGCCGGGCGACGTGCGCATGCTGTTCACCCGCCACGCCGGCGGCGCGCCCTACATGGGCATCGACGAGCTCCGGCGCTACCTCGCCGCCAGCGGGGAGGCCCACGTCGACGCCGACACGGCGGAGCGGATCATCGACCGGGTCCTGCAGGAGCGCAGCCGCACCCCGCGCTTCGGGAAGCCGTCGCTCACCATCGACGATTTCCAGTACTTCCTCTTCTCCGAGGACCTCAACCCGCCCATCTGCCATTCCAAGGAAGTAAGCAAACTACCCGCTCGATCCCCAATTTCCCAAATGCTGTTAGATTCATCGTCATTCCGTGATAATCCTGCCGTTGCACAATGCGGTGAAATGGCGTAATTTGCTAGGATTCAGAAGGGGATTCTTGGGGTTTGTTTAGTTCACATTAAAATTAAAAGTTTGGTTAAAATTGGAATGATGTGACGAAAAGTTAGAAGTTTGTGTGTGCAGGAAAGTTTTGATGCGATGGAAAAGTTGGAAGTTTGAAGAAAAAAATTAAAACTAAACATGGCTTTGGTCGGAACTGCTCTGTAGTGTGGACGTCATTCAAATCTTTATGAAGTATTTTTTTAAAGATGGATCACACATGTGATTAACATAGTTATATAAAATTTTGTTAAAATTTGAAAATGTAGAATACGATGATATAAATCACTATATAAACATGCAAGTTTAAATTTGATCCACGCAAAGAGAAAAAATATAACCGATTATGTTTGAGTTGTGGCATTACTATTTTCTATCTGGTTCTATTAATTTTTTTTCTCCAATTGTAGATCGAATCAAGCCTTTGTATGTTTGTACATAGACTTATGCTATCGTAATCTACTCCCATTTTTTTTGGACGGAGGGAGTATGTTATCAATTTTAGTTTAATTTTTTTTACAACTATTTGGGTCACATACAAATAACTGGCACATATGCACCTAGGTGTAAAGAAGTCAACATGCAGGTAATGAATTGAATTTCCATACAACATTCTGCTCTCCTAAGAAATTACGCTTACAAGTTCACTTGGATATTGCTAAACTCCATTTTGATATTACTTAGTGTGTACTGAATGATCTAAGATGTGAGTTGATGGTAGATCTCGTGCTCTCAGGTCCATCACGACATGAATGCACCATTATCGCACTACTTCATATACACTGGACACAACTCGTATCTGACGGGCAATCAACTTAGCAGTGACTGCAGTGATATTCCCATCATTAAGGCACTGCAAATAGGCGTCCGTGTAATTGAACTGGACATGTGGCCAAATTCTTCTAAAGATGATGTTGATATTCTCCATGGAAGGTATGCATGAGAATTGCTCACTTGAAGACATTTTTGTTCTGCACTGGAGGCCATTCGATATGCTATGACCTTATTCCAAACTATTTGCTTCTTTGGTAGGACACTGACTGCCCCAGTATCACTTATCAAATGCTTGAAATCCATCAAAGAATATGCCTTTGTTGCGTCTCCCTACCCTGTTATTATAACATTAGAAGACCACCTTACATCTGATCTTCAGGCGAAAGTAGCTAAGGTAATTGCATTTTCCTCGTATGATCAATAATTTGGTGCAGTTGATTCTGTTGTAGCTAGTTATGAAATTTTCTTTAGATGGTTCTTGAAGTATTTGGAGATACCCTATATTATCCCGAGTCAAAACATCTTCAAGAATTTCCTTCACCCGAAGCACTGAGGGGACGTGTCATCCTCTCAACAAAACCCCCAAAGGAGTACCTTGAATCAAAAGGTGGTACTATGAAAGACAGAGACATTGAGCCTCAGTTTAGCAAAGGACAAAATGAAGAAGCTGTCTGGGGAACAGAAGTCCCAGATATTCAGGATGAGATGCAAACCGCCGACAAGGTTCTACTGGTTTTAACATTTGTTGTTTCTTGTTTCTTAGCATATGGTGTATGTCCATCACTGTTGTATTGGCTTTATTCCCTAGCAGCATGAGAATGATATACTATACACCCAAAGAGATGTGGAAGAAGATGATGAGAAGAAAATGTGCCAGCATCACCCACTAGAGTATAAACACCTTATTACTATTAAGGCAGGAAAGCCAAAGGGTGCTGTAGTTGATGCCTTAAAGGGTGATCCAGATAAAGTTAGACGCCTCAGTTTGAGTGAGCAGGAACTTGCAAAAGTGGCAGCGCATCATGGTCGTAACATCGTGAGGTTCGTTTAGCAAATATACTGAATTTCGTAGCAAAGTATTTTCTATCATTGCACCAGAGCTCTCTATGTCCATTGACCTTAACTTCATTCTGTTTATTCAAAGCAGCTTTACACATAAAAATCTTCTGAGAATATACCCAAAGGGCACTCGCTTCAATTCTTCGAACTATAATCCGTTTCTTGGTTGGGTGCATGGTGCACAAATGGTGGCATTTAATATGCAGGTACATTTCTAACATGACACTCCTCTGCTACATCATATTGGCCTGAATGCCTGATACATTTTTCTTCGCAGGGGTATGGAAGATCTCTTTGGCTAATGCACGGATTCTACAAGGCCAACGGTGGCTGCGGTTATGTGAAGAAGCCAGATTTCATGATGCAAACTTGTCCAGATGGAAATGTTTTTGACCCGAAAGCAGATTTACCTGTGAAGAAAACACTCAAGGTAGGTTTGTGGCATATGTTTCTTCCTTTCATTTTCATCTCTGAAATTCAGGAATCGAGCTACTTACAGCTTGCCTGTTTGTCTACCAGGTCAAAGTATACATGGGCGAAGGTTGGCAGAGCGACTTCAAGCAGACATACTTCGACACGTATTCCCCTCCAGACTTCTACGCAAAGGTACATCGAATTTTACGCTGATGCCAAACGCCAACAAATTTGCAAATGCAAAACGGAGCTTTGAAAAAACATGTATATATGTATAACTTTTACATATGGAGTGAGATGAAGACAAACTTTATATCAAAATTGTAGAGCTCCATGAGTTCTACGACGTTCTTATTGACTAGTCCATCGTTCCATCATCATAACAGGTGGGCATTGCCGGGGTTCCGTCGGACTCGGTGATGCAGAAGACGAAAGCCGTGGAGGACAGCTGGGTTCCCGTGTGGGAGGAGGAGTTCGTGTTCCCGCTGACCGTCCCGGAGATCGCGCTGCTCCGCGTGGAGGTGCACGAGTACGACGTGAGCGAGGACGACTTCGGCGGGCAGACGGCGCTCCCGGTGTCGGAGCTGCGGCCGGGGATCCGCACCGTGCCGCTCTTCGACCACAAGGGGCTCAAGTTCAAGAGCGTCAAGCTCCTCATGCGGTTCGAGTTCGTCTAGCAAATTCAGTAGGCATATCACTCGCTCATGTGTGTTGTATACTTAGCATGATGATCTATTTCTCTAGTAGCAAGATTAGATTTTTACTTATGTGTGTTGTATACGTAGTATGATGATATTTTCTAGCAAGATCAGAATTTTGGACTACCTGTTTTTCTAGGAAAAAACAGATTATTTGGACATCGGTGACCAGAATTTTGGACTAGCAAGATAGATTTGGACTGCTTTGATCTGCAGATCGGTGGACATTTTTCTAGCAAGATTAGAATATTAGATTATGGTTTGATTAGATTTAAGAACTTGTTTTGGTCTCTATGTAGATCGGAGAATCAGTTCCATCTTTTACAGTTCCATCTCTACTAATCACACCTCATCTGCGAAATATGAGATCCTACGGCCAGGGACGCTGTAATCCGGCTGCACCAACGGCGTGGATTGAACCTGAAATATCGCGTGGATAAGGGGGAATACGGAGTTGTTTGTATCATCCGTGGTAAGCAGCTGAGCTGAGCCATGGCGATGGGAGCCGCGGCGGCGCCATGGTACGGCGCCATCGGCGGCGGTGGCTCGCGGCGCGCGCGGGTGAGGGCGCAGGCGGCGGCGCCGTGGGCAGGAGGCGCGGAGGAGCTGGTGCGGTCGGGCGCGGTGCGGGCGGTGCGGGCGAGGGAGGCGGCGGGGGCGATGTCCGCGGAGGGGTTCCGGCTGCTGGACGTCCGGCCGGAGTGGGAGCGCGCGCGCGCCGCCGTGCGGGGCTCGGCGCACGCGCCGCTGTTCGTCGGGGACGACGACACGGGCCCCGTCACGCTGCTCAAGAAGTGGGTCCACTTCGGCTACATCGGCCTCTGGACCGGCCAGTCCTTCACCAAGATGAACGACCGCTTCCTCGACGACGTCGCCGCCGCCGCCGGCGAAGGCAAGGACGCCAAGCTGCTCGTCGCCTGCGGCGAAGGCCTCCGGTAATTAATCTAATCACACTGAAGCTACTGAGAATTTTTATCTGTTTAGTGTGTAATACAACGTGGCAATTAAGCTTCTGGATCGGTTGCATGCATCCGAACTAGGGCTGCTTTCCGAACTACTAAACGGTGTGTTTTTTGTAAAAAAATTCTATAGGAAAGTTGTTTTAAAAAATCATATTAATCCATTTTTAAAGTTTAAAATAATTAATACTCAATTAATCATGTACTAATGGCTCACCTCGTTTTACGTATCTTCCCAATCTCCTCTATCTCCTCCTCCTCAAACACAGGTCGTTGATCGCGGTGAGGATGCTGTACGACGACGGGTACAAGAACCTGGCGTGGCTCGCCGGAGGGTTCAGCAAGTGCGTCGACGGCGACTTCGCCGACGTGGAGGGGGAGAGCAAGCTGCAGTATGCCACCGTGGGTGGGGTGTCCTACATCTTCCTCCAGATCCTGCTTCTGCTGCGGGTAGTCAAGTGATGATCATGTAACATCAGGACATGCATCCGAGTATCCGACCAATGTTGCAGTGGAATATGCTGCCAAGTCCCAAATATTCTCCCATCCTCTTGCCTTGTTCTCTTATAATTGAATTGAATTCGTTGAATTCATGTGCTTGCGTGAAAAATGTGATGATAGATAAATATAGATACCAGTAGCAAGGTAGTTCGTGATGGTAGACAAGTAGACGGTAGCAAGTTCTGTTCTACTGTTCTAAAAAAAAAAGTTCTGCATGTGTTATACTCCATTTCAGAACCGGTCGTTGTTGCCTAAGAAAAGATGTTGAAACATGCTGAGGACCCAACAGATATCGAAGTTTCATGAATTTCTGGTGGGCCTAATATAAGCCTAGGAATTTCACTGGGCTAACTAGACGAGTTGGGCCCTTCTCATTCATATATATATCTCTACCAATATATCTATCTATCTATCTATTATATTATTAAAACAGTCTTTAAAGGAGGCACCACGTTCGCTGTGGATGATAGAAATTTTCAAATTCCCACATTAATCGGAGAAAAAGAAAAAAAGTCCAAGTAGAAATACAATCTAAAAATAGTTGAAATCCAGAATTAAAAATATGCAATATTGAAAGAGGAGTCGTTGTGGATGATAGAAATTCCCACATTAATCGGAGAAAAAGAAAAGAAGAGTTCAAGTAGAAATACAATATAAAAATAGCTTAAATTCGGAATTAAAAATATGCAATATTGAAAGAGGAGTCTATATAGGAACCCAATACGTGATTAATTAAAATTTGGAATAAAAAATAAATTTCAAAATTAGAGAAAGAAAAAAGAAGAGTACGAGTAGAAATACAATTTAAAAATAACTGAAATTCGGAATTAAAAATAAGCAATATTAAAATAAGAGTACATATAAGAACCTAATAGTAGATTAATTAAAATTCTAAATAAAAAATAAAATAAAAATCCGAAATTAGGTAAATTAAAAAAAGAGTTAAAGTAGGAATACAATTTTGAAACAACTGAAAATGAAATAAAAAATAAAAATATCAGAAGAAGACAATACGAAAAATAAAATAAATTCTGAAATTAGAAAAAAGAAAAATAATATTTCAACTAGGAATACAATTTATAAATAACTACAAATGGTGATAAAAAAGACTATTGAAAGAAAAGACCATCTGAAACATATGACGAGATTACATGAGTAACAGGCCTGTAAAGGAGCAGAGTGGTGGCAGTTAATGAGACATCTAAAAACTATTAATAAAACTCCAAATAGAATCCTAATGACGATTAAAAGGAAGGACGGCAGGCAGGTCGTGAAGCAATTGGTCAAGGCGGTTGGCGGGGACTTGTAGAAAGTAAAAAAATAAACCCCAATGATAATCATATTTGATTTTTAAAATCTCAATTACAATAAAAATTGGAGGCAACAGGAGGGTCGTATAGAAGTACAATGGCAGAGCCGCCGATGGTTGGTGGGTCTTCTAGAAAGTAAAAAAATGAATTTGTGAATTCCAACGATAATTATGTTCGATTTTTATAATCCCAATGACAATAAAAAGTATGCGGCGGACGGATCGTAGAGGAGTATAGTGGTAGCGTTTGACAAGATTTCTAAAAATTATAAAAAACATGATACCTAACGAGATAATAAACTCTAAAAACTATAAGGTTCAATTTTTAAAGGTTCAGGCTTCTAAAAAGTAAAAAAAAACCTTAATGATAAACATGTTTGATTTTAAAATCTCAATAACAGTAAAGAAGGGCGGCAGTGGGCGAGCTATAGAGGAGTAGGAAAAAGTACGAATTATCCCCCTGAACAATTGCGGTCGGCCGAATTACCCCCCTAAACCCGAAAACCAGTCATTGCTCACCCTGAACTTTCAATAGCGGATGAATTACCCCCTCGATCCAATTCGCAGCGGTTTTGTCCTACGTGGCGTACGCGCAGCAATCCGGTCAGCATTTTCTTTCTAAAAAAAATAGTGGGACCCACCTGTCATACCTCTCCTTCCTCTCTTCTTCTCTTTCTATCTTCACTCTCTCTCTCTGTCACGGTGACGGGGAGCGTGAGCGGCGCGGGGACGGACTGGCGGTGTGCGGCGGCGCGAGCGGTGGAGAACAGCGGTGGACTGGCGGCGAGCGGCGGCGCGAGGGTGGACTGGCGGTGGGCGGTGGCATGAGCGGCGCGCGGGGGCGGACTGGCGGCGAGCGGCGCGCGGGGTCGGACTAGCGGTGGGAGGCGGCGCTAGCGGCGTGCAGGGGTGCACTGGCTTCTCCCCTCCGCCACCTCCTCTCCTAGCCTCCCTTCCGCCGCCGCCACCGCCGCCGCGCCGCCATCTGCCGTCGAGAGTCCCGGTTCTCCACCCCCGCGGTGACGATGGCGGGCCAGGAGTCGCTCACCCTGGCGGGCGTCTTGCGCGGCCGCAATGACATGGTGACGGCGATCGCGGCGCCGATCGACAACTCGCCCTTCATCGTCTCCTCCTCCCTGCGACAAGTCGCTGCTGGTGTGGGACATCACCAACCCGTCCAGCCGCTCGCGCCCGCCGCCGCAGCTCACGCCGTCGCCCACCGCCAGTCCGCCCCCGCGCGCCGCTCGCCGCCAGCCCACCGCCGTCCTCCGCCGCTCGCGCCGCCGCCCACCGCCCACTGCCAGTCCGCCCCCACGCGCCGCTCGCGCTCCCGGCTCCCCGTCACCGTGCACAGAGAGAGAGAGTGAGAGAGAGAGAGAGTGAAGATAGAGAGAGAGGAAGGAGAGGTATGACAGGTGGGTCCCACAATTTTTTTTAGAAAGAAAATGCTGACTGGATTGCCACGCGTACACCACGTAGGACAAAACTGCTCTGAATTGGATCGAGGGGGGTAATTCACTAATTCTTCCGGTATTGAAAGTTCAGGGTGAGCAATGACTGATTTTCGTGTTTACGGGGGTAATTCGGCCGACCGCAATTGTTCAGGGGTAATTCGTACTTTTTCCTAGAGGAGTACGGTGACAAAGTCGCTGACGTTTTGGCGGAACTTCTAGAAAGTAAAAAAAATGAACCTAAACGATAATTATGTTCGATTTTTAAAATGGCAATGACAATAAAGAGAAGATTCAGTGGACGGTTGTAGAGGAGTATAATGACAGCTTTTGACGGGTCTTCTAGAAATTATAAAAAAGAAGCCTAACGGGACGATAAACTCAAAAAACTTAATAAAGAATAATATGACAGAAGTAAGGGGTAGCAACTGGTGTGACTTTTAAAAACTATAAAATTAGAAACACGAGGATGATAAGGTTTGGTCTTGCAAAATCCTAAGACATCGAGATAACTATTTAATAAATTTTAAGTAAAATCATATTAAAAATATATAATTTTATATGGGTGCTAGCCGCTCAATGCACGGTCCACCAAGCTAGTTTTCATAAATAAAGAGATTATTTGGATCCAGCTAGTTTTCATAAACAAAGAGATTATTAGTAAACATACAAGCCAGATACAAAGGAATATCAGAATATGCAATTAATATCCCAATGCAATTTAATTTCAGACCAACTCATCAACAGCTTTGTGTAACATGAGGGATAATCTCGTTTGTATGATCTCAGAACATCAATTTCAAGTCCCTGATGATTCTTTTTTGTTGGTTCATGTCTTATGGACCAACCTTTTTTAGATAATGGTGACCTTCGACCAACCTAGCTTCTCCTGTCCTCCATATCCACTAGAGTAAATGGTATGACCGTCAGCACTACACTAGGTCACTAGCTCGCCATGAGCACGTACTTACTCTGGTCGTTTTTTTCCAACACGTGTTTAGGACTCTCGAGATGATTCCGTTGAAAAAAATATAGATATCGAGTGGTAGGGAAACATGTCACTATCGAAATGGACGACTCGGATTGCAACATATACACACCAACGTGATAAATTTGTCCAAATATTAGTGGTGCCGCCATCCATGGACCATCTGCATAGTTGCGTCACCAGGTTCATTTTTTTCTCGTGGCACGTTTTTTAAACTACTAAACGGTACGTTTCGTGTGAAAACTTTCTATATGAAAGTTGTTCTAAAATATAAGACTAATCTATTTTTTAATTTTATAATAATTAAAATTCAATTAATCACACGTTATTAATATCTCGGTTTGCGTGAAACATTTAATCTTTATATTCATCTACAGCAGATTCAAACACCACCTAGATGTTAATTAGGGTATAAAAACGCATTCTTCGTCACTCGAATTGCAGCCGTCGAGTAATTAAGCTAGGAAAGAATTTTCAGACAGAAGTCGAGCCTAGCTACTCCCTTCGGAATTCCAGATGTAACACAATCTACTACGATAAATCTAAATAAAAGATTGTCTATATTCATCGTGATTATGTCCCATTTCAATTAATTATATTGATTTCTAGTATGATCACGACGAGACGACCAAAGAGGAGATAAGCGAATTTCGGTAACAGAAAAGGAAAGGCAGCTGACCGGTATCCCTGAGAAGCATAGGAACACAGGCGTCGCTGTTCGCCCACGTGCCTGATTTTGGCATGCACTCCCTCTTTCCCTTCCCATAAAAAACCAATGTAGTAGGGGATATGACACATTCTAGCATTGTGAATCTGGACATATCACTATTCAGATTTATTGTACTAGAATATATCACATCCAGTTTTAGATTTATTTTTTACGGGACGAAAGGAGTAACAAAGAAATGAGGTCCGAGGGCTATGCATGCCATCCTGTACCGTATCATTAGACTTGTCGCTACAACTTAGGCTGTGTTCGGGTCCCGGGTCCTGGCACAAAAAATATAGCAGTGATTAACGCAAGATTAATTAAATATTTGCTAATTTTTTAAAAAATAGATTAATATATATTTTTTTTAAAACAACGTTCGTATAAAAATTTTTTTTAAAAAACGCACCGTTTAGCAGGTTAAAAAGCGTACGCGCGGAAAACGATGGTGGAGAGTTGGGAACCCCTGCTAAAGAACGTAGCCTTAGAGTATGATCCACGGTAACCTGCCATGTTATGGCTATCTATGTGGCTCTTGTCCCAGGAGGTTTCTTTGTTCAAATAATCGAGAAGATATAACATATCTGCTTTACATGTGTATAAATATTGAGATTCCACGAATTTTCGATCGACTAATAATCAGGGTGAGCCAAGAATTTTAAACTTGTGTATTTAATTTGAAATGAGAAGGGGTAAAAAAAATTCGAAATGAGAAGGACTAATAAAATAATAATGGTGGTAATTTAGTAGTATAGCTTCAATCATTCTCCTTCTTCTTTAGCATTAATAGGGCGAGTTTAGTTCCAATTTTCTTCCATACTACTAGAAAAAGTATTTTTTCTGATGGGAGGGTCTCATTTTCGCAGGCGGACATGACCCTTAGAGCCAAATGACCGCCTACGAAAATATAAATCGGGGTGAAATTTGATGTCCGCCTGCGGACCACTTAAGCGGCGCCTTTTTCGCAGGCGCAGGCGCCGCTTAACTGGTCCGACTGCGAAAATAGACTTGAATATAAATACACGCGGGCGGCAATTTTTTCTAAGTCCTCAGTCCTCCCCTCCACACCTCTCCTCCTCACCTCTCCTCACCACCGGCCCCTCCCCTCTCCTCTCCTCCTCTCCCCTCCCCTCACTTCTACTCTCCCCGGTGGCGGCGAAGGGCGGCAGCGCCGAGGAGGCGAGGTGGCGCGGCCGAGGAGGCGACGGAGGAGGGCGGCGCCGAGGAGGGCGACGGAGGAGGGAGGCGAGGCAGCGCGGCCGAGGAGGCCGGCGGCGGCGATGACAGCGTGGAGCGGCGACGGTGCGAGCTAGGCGGCGGCGGCGGCTCCCCTCCCCCTCCCTCCCAGATCTGGCCTAAGGAGGGAGGGGGGAGGCCGGCGGCGGCGATGACGGCGCGGGCCGGGCGGCGGCGGCGGCTCCTCTCCCCCGCTCCCTCCCAGATCTGACCGCAGGAGGGAGGGAGGATGCCGGCGGCGGCGCCGACGGCATGGAGCGGCGACGGCGCGGGCTAGGCGGCGGCGGTGGCTCCCCTCCCCCCTCCCTCCCAGATCTAGCCGGAGGAGGGAGGCGGAAGGCCGGCAGCGGCGGCGGCGGCTCCCGGCGCGGGCCGGCGATTTTTTTTTTGATCGTTTCTTCTATTTTCGCAAGCGGGCCATTGCCCCGACTGCGAAGATGGATGATTTTCGCAGTCGTTGTGGTGCAGGCGGACCTCTCTCCCACCTGTGAAAATTAGTTTTGTCCGCCTGCAAAAATGCTTTTTCTAGTAGTGCCAACTTCCAACTTTTCTATCACATCAAAATTTTCCTACACACATAAACTTTCAACTTTTCCATCACATCGTTTCAATTTCAACCAAACTTCTAATTTTGGCGTGAACAAAACACATCGGAGAGGGGGTGAGAAGAGGGATCGAGTTGAGGCAAGCAATATTTTTGTTTGGGGTGGTTTACCAGATGGTTAGTAGAGGCATGAGGATGAATCAACGAAGTTGACAAAGATGAAAAGACAAATCTAAATGAATGAAAAGTGAAACCGAAAATGGAGAACTATTGTGCCACATCATCAAGCGAACATGGGCCATCCGATGTTTGATACTTGCGTTGCAAGGCATCAGATTATGAGATTGGCAAAACTTCCTCCTGGTCCTTCAGGAAACTTCTTTTGCATATAGGTCCTTTTGCGTCCCTCGCTAAAATACCCAGCACAGAAAAAGGCTTCGCATAAAAAAAAAATCCAGCCGGCTCAAGCCGATGCTTTTTTTAGCCGTCTTTTTCCTCCGCTTGGACAGACATGGCAGTACATTGTAACTATGTTCATATAATTGGGATGTGCTATGAGAGTGTGAATTGGGGATAAAACACTAGATCATGCAGAGGAAAGAAATTTTAAGGAGAACGACTTCGTTTTTATATTATAGTAGTAAAGATAATTAAATTAAAATGGCTGGAACAACACATGTTTTACAGTAGGTTGATGGACAAAGGTTAAAAATAAATGAGACTAAGATTCTATGGTCTCTGCAGCTTACTCTTGCTTCTACTAATTGGATGCATGGTTGTTTGGACAATTGGTTGTTCATCTCATACGTGTCACGCATGTTAATTAGAACTCAAGATCATAGAACGGCTATCTTTTCGCTTACGCATATGCTTGTCAGCTAAAATTTAAATTTTCATCCTTAAATTTGGTGTTGATTTTATGGTTTTTTTATCGTATTTTGTTTTTTAACATTTACTTTTAAATTGTTAAGAACATATTTATAAAAGTATTATTCATAAAATATTTTTCGTTAGCAACTGCGCCGTTTGGCTAAAAAATGGCAAAAAAAGTGACTATATTTAGTTTGCTGTCAAATTTTGATAACTATATAAAAAATCATGTCAAAATTTTAGCAAGTTACCAAATTTAATAAGGTTTTTTTTATCAAAGTGAACATGTCTTGTATTGCTATCCATCACCCATCAAGCACGCGTTGCCACCTGCACCAACATATCACCGTCACACGAGAAGCGACGCGCATAGCGAGATACGCTGTTCGGACGCGTCCACCGAAAACGACGGCACAGGTATGCGCGACACATGAAGATTGCCGGTCTCATTTGGCTTGCAACCTCTTGTTACTAGTAAAAGAAAACAAGTCCGAATTAAATAGCTTTGCACCCATTAAATACGTACAGAACATTCCTTGATTTTATAATTGAGAATGGCTTGGAAATAAAGACAGGAGGGGTGCATCATTTTTATTTATTTGAATGAATATTCGTGTGTTTATATAAGCATTTGAATTAATTTGTACCATTAAAATCGATGTCACATGAGCCAGATTTTCACAGGCAATGACAACAGGAGTATTAAGAGACGACAAACCTTATAAACTACTCAAACTTTCACAGGCTCACAACGATATCATTCTTGTTATTGCCATATGTTTTGCTATAAAACTACTACTGCTACACATAAATATATTCTAGTGCGTCATATATATTGATAACTATGAATGTATCAAGACCGTGTCACATATTATACTGCTTATAAATAGACCATCTATTATAGACGTCACAGATGACAACATAGGAAAAAAGAAACTAGAGCACCACTTGTAGAGGGAAAGACCTTTCTATGTCAATGTGAAGGACCAGAACATACATATGCCTAGTTTAGTTCCCAATTTTTTTTTCTCAAAAATATCACATCGAATCTTTAGATACGTGTATGAAGCATTAAATATAAATAAAAATAAAAACAAATTACACAGTTAGTATGGAAATCACGGGACGAATCTTTTAAGCCTAATTAGTCCATGATTAGCCATAAGGGCTACAGTAACCTACATGTGCTAATGACGGCTTAATGAGGCTCAAAAGATTCGTCTCACGGTTTCCAGGCGAGTTATGAAATTAATTTTTTCAATCGTATCCGAAAACTTCTTCCGATATCCGGTCAAACATCCAATGTGGCACCCAAACATTTTCTTTCGCGAACTGTTTGCCATAACATTAATTTGTGATGGACCGTAGTATTGACACTCTGACGGTGCTCTATCAAATGCGGCCAACAGTAGGAAGATACCGCGGCCCCCACGAAGTTGCACGGCCACCGGGCCAAAGGACTAGAACTGCACGGTGGACAAGTCTTTTTCTTTCCCATGACCCATGTACTCTTGTCTTTGTATTCCCACAATAATGGAAAGCAGGGTGGCAATATCGATCGATCAAACATCCTGGAACAAGGACAAAAGCCCTACAAAGGCACATTGGCTCAAGCTGTTCCAAATTTCCACTGTACTCCTGTATCTGTCCTGCACAGTACGCACCGCAGGGATACTTTTTTTTCCCAAAAAAATTAATTTAGAAAAAAACGCTCCAAAATTATTCTACATCTAGACCTCTCGGCCACACCTTCCTTCATCTGGCGAATCATTGTAGTCACATCATAAACCATGCGAAATTGTCTATGGCGGCTAGCTGTGTATAGTGCGCTAATTAACTTACCAAATATATCTCTTCTTTTTATTTTTAAAAGCAAGCTGTTGGAGTGCTCAATTTTTCATATATTTAATATAAAAAGTTAAAAATATGGTACTACTCCACACTTTCCGCATTTACTTTTTTCACTATTGGTAAAATTTTGTTGAGTAAATTTTACAAAACTATAGATGTTTTGATCAAATCATCATAGAACTATAGATCGAAAATAATGCATCTCAAAATAAAATAATAAATTTAGCATCAAATTTACCACGACACTATTTAGATATCTAGAAACTATAGATTTAGATCCTAGTAACTATCTCTATCAAAAAATATAAGGGATTTATGCATTCATATTGCTAAGATCACTTATATTTTAGGATGAATTTAGTATCATAAAACTACAGACTTTAGAGTTTATAGTACTATTGTTCTGCTAGGGTTGTAACATTAGTTTTGTGATTAAATTGACGTTTAATTTTTAGTTTTGTAATAACTTCATTAAATTGATTGTAGCTTTGTGACACTATATCTTAAGTCTATAGTTACATGAATAATTTGGTATTAAATCTATAGTTTTATGATATTTTGTTTGCAATATCTATTCTGATGATTCAATGTTTTGTAAAGACTTGGATACATGTAGATAGGCTATCCATACATAACATCACTTGTATGTAATTAGTAAATTGCTCAGTTAACGTAGTTCTTTCGTCTCAAAATAAATCAACGTAATGCGGAATGTGACACATTTAGTAGTACAAATTTAGATTCGTAGTATTAGATGTGTCACATCCCGAATTAGATTGATTAATTTATGTTGGATGGAAGGTGGAAGTATATGACAACGTGATTGTTCCTTTTTTTAATAATATATGTACGTAGGCGAGTAACTTTGTCATGCATGTGGTGACAATTTAGGCGCGTGAGACGAGTTTATGTACTATACACCACGTCGTCTCACTCTGCACCATGATCTTCACAAAGTAGAATAAACATCAATTATTTATTACTCCCTCCATCCCAAAATACAAGAAGTTTTAGAGTTCGACACGGTTATTAAGAAAGTAGGTAGAAGTGGATGGTGGAGGGTTGTGATTAGATGAGTAGTGGAGGTAGGTGGGAAAAGTGAATGGTGGAGGGTTATGATTGGTTGGGAAGAAAATGTTGGTGGAGAAGTTATTATATTTTGGGACAAATCCTGAGGACAAGTTGTTATATTTTGAGATGGAGAGAGTAATAATATCTACAGGTCGCCAACGCACGCTATCCACAAAAACATGTTCCTTCTGGATGGATATCGGAGCTTGCAAGTTGAAGCCAACTACTCCCTTTGTACCAAAAAGCTAACCTAAATAGGATAGGACATAACCTATAACAACGAATCTCGAAATAAATATGTTCATATTCATTGTCCTAAGTTATATTCCATTCTTATATAGGCTATTTTTTTGGCACAAAGGGAATAGCTAGCTAGCGAGCTAGACTGCTCGCTGAGGAGGAAGAAGAAGAAAACGCAGTAGCGGCGGGAGGGGCGCCGCAGATGGCGGTTGCCATCTGCTGAGACTGGAGCTGCGCCTTGCCGCTGAGGCCGCACCGCCGGATGTGCTCGCGGTACTCGTCGAAGGTCATCGGCGGGTAGAGCGCCGGGCGGGCCGGCGGCGCCACCAGCTCCGGCATGGGCGCCAGCGGCAGGTCGCTCCGCGGGTTGTAGAAGAAGGCCAGCGACAGCCGCTCCTCCGCCGCGCTCACCGTCACCCGGTGCTCCACGCTCTTGTACACCGCGTTGCTCAGCACCTGCATCCGCGCATTATTCGCTAATTAATCAACATGTGCATATTCCCTGTAGTAGTCAATTATTGTAACAGTGAATTAACTGCATGTGCAGCTCGACAAAATGCATACTGCTGCAGCATCAAGGGTACTATGCACATATGCTTAAATTGAGCCAATAATTAATAATAGACCGTTCTGCGCTGATTGTGCTTTGTCTCTCTCTGCTGGCCACGAAAATACATATAGATTCTTGCATTAACTGTTACACCAAAAAAATGGTAATCATTAAATCATGAGCTACTCCTATACATAAACTAAGTCTGTAAACTAGAGTATTTTATCTATGTCATCTAATGTAAGGCAGAGTTCTCTAAACAATTACTTCCTCATTCTCTACTAGCACATTTTTAAACTGCTAAATAATATTTTTCGTGCAAAAGCTTTCATATGAAAGTTTCTTTTAGAAAAACAAATAAATATACTTTTAAAAATTTATAGTAATAAATACTTGATTAATCATGCGTTAATGAGTTACAGCGTTTCCTGGGATGCCAAAAATTTCATACAAACCGGTGTTTCAAACTCAGCCTAAGATAGTTAATTAATTAATTAGTAACTTATCTAGTAGATTTCATATTATTTCTAACAAAATTACCATTTCAATCAATTAAAAATTAGAATTACACATATGCCCTAATGCTTATTTAGGGGTACAGTTTTCGTGGTTGGATTTCGTGTCAAAGCCAGATCTCATAAAAGATCTATCCCGTGTCTCTTTCCTTCTTAGTTCTAGTGCCACCTCAGATTTGTCACACGTACGTGAAATGTTGTTTAATGCCATAGATGGCCCAGCTTAGGTGGAGCACGTTGAGTGACATAGGTATATATATACAGAACTGTTAATGAGAAAATATAATTGTTAGCTAAGAAAGAGAATATATATATTGTATTTCTAAATATATATAATTAATTGAGGCTATGGACAGACCCAACATTGACGGAAAGTTTGCGGCATATATATATGTCACTTTTGTGAATGATTGGCCGCAACACCTAAGGTGCCTACTTGATAATGATCAGTAACTTCAGCAGTAATAGCACTTACACATCAAGTGCAAGTTCTATTAGAGATAGACCGAGAGAATACGTCTCTAGACAGTGAACACAAGCTACGGTCAAATTAACACTAGCTGGCTAAGATTAGGAATGGGAAAAAGAAATCCTTAATTAATTTGAGATGGAGCGACCGGCACCTAGCTAGACTTTTCTAACATGCATCATATATCCTCTTAATTTATTCCAGAAAGGCACATAGTACTGCACGTGGGGTTCATTTCTTGTCGAAAAATTATATGAATGGATGGAAACATGTGATATGATTCAACCGTATTTTTTTCACTAAGCTAGCTGATGCCTATACCCATAATACATCTATAATAATTAATATGGAAATATAATAAATGTGCTGTGTATCTAGACTAGTCTAGCTAGATATATTAATTATTTCCTTATTAGAAAATAATTACGCTAATCAAATTTTACTGTGATTATCGCATGGATATCAGATGAACACTGTATGCGTACTTTAAAAAAATATTAGTAAACTATTTAAAACAATGATATCGTCTTTTCCGTACCAGATATATTCCCTCCATTTTTTTAATATATAACGTAGTTGACTTTTTGACAAACGTTTGATCGTTTGTATTATTCAAATTTTTTACACAAATATAAAAAAAATTAAATGATGCTTAAAGAACATTCGATGATAAATCAAGTCATAATAAAATAAATAATAATTATATTTTTTTAATAAAACGAATGGTCAAACATATCTCAAAAAATCAATGATGTCATATATTAAAAAAGGATGGAGTATATACTAGTGTTCAGAAATGCTGATTAATTGTAGGTAATTTCATGCTATGGCTTAATCTGCCCTGGCTTCTTACTGTCTCATCGATCCCATCCCATATGCACAACATGCATGTTTCCTCCATTTAACAGCAGGCCTCCGCTGCTGTGTTCCTTTTAAAAAAAATGCATGTTTCCTCGATGTCCACTACAAATTAAATGGCTCACTTAGCTAATGGAAAGCATTTTGCTTATCGAAATCACTCTTAGCTAAGCAACCTTAATTAGTTGGTAATTATTGTGCGATGGAATATCCTTGAAAGTTTCGGAGAAATTAGTTTCCAAAAAGCCTTACACTAGCTAGAGGGAAGAAACCTCAAAAAGGAAAACAAAAACAACATGCAACTTCTTTCTCATAACATTTTGCAAGACTTCAGTAATAATTAGCTAGTCGATTTATAAGTTTTCCCTCTGTCCTTAACATATATATGTAATCAATATGTAATGTAGTTTTTAAGAATACACACCACAAGTGGCACTCATGCTATTTACTGAGTACACAGAATATATATGCTTAGTGTAAATTCTAAACAGCTAGTAATATAGGTATGGATTATTTGTGCCATGTTTCCAAAAATAAATGTCTCCAAAGCTTGCTACATACAATCAGCATTGATTAGATAGCATTTTCTAAACTACTTGTTAGCTTTATGATATTTAATTCATAAATACATTTCTTTGAGTAATTTTCTTCTGTCTAAATTAAAATATATACAATCATCCAGGTAGAACGTGCCCTTAGAACCCAACTTTTGAAATATTCAAGGCTAAAATGAGTTAACTTATTCATCATGAAATATATGTGTAATAATATTTTTTTTAAAAAAATAATATGACTATTTTTTTTGTACTGTTAATTAGCTTTCATACCGTTTTTGTAAGAGATCTTGGATGTGCAAATAAAATCCTAAAAATAAACGACACATGTTAAAAACATGGTTTAATTATTTCTCGTCTTCAATTTGTCCTGGACCGTACCAAACGATAGGATTTGCCGACGACTCCTTTGTTTAAGTTGTGGCGACGGTCTCTTGTACCACCGCACACAACGAAGAGCCAGAGACACGTGTCGACATCTGAGAACAGTTTCTCTTGCTCTCTTTTTTTCCTTTTCATTCTTTCTTTCTCTGCCTTTCTTTCTTCTATCGTCCATGCTTCATCACTGCTTTGCAGTTTGCACTTATACGGTATGGTGCAACCACGGCTGCACCTTACGTTCTCCGGCTGTTCTCTTTTGATGCATATACAAATTGCGGCGGTTATATATACACGGTGAAACTGAAATATATGTATAAATATATACCTCCAGTTCTTTTTAATTTGTTTGTTCAAAAATGAAACCAACGTGAAATATTTTATCCGTCCAAAAATATAAATGATTTTAGTGGAATGTGACACATACTGATACTACGAATCTAAACAGTTTATGTGTCACATCCTCCAAAATCACTTATATTATATTTTTAGATGGAGAGAGAGTACCGAGGGAGTATAGTAATTAAGCTTTATATATATACCTGTATCTGGTCGCCGATGTTGACGATGAAGGCGTCGGGAACAGGGTCGACGGTGATCCAGTGGCCGGCGTTCTTCACCTGGAGGCCCCTGACGTGGTCGTCGACGAGCAGCATGGTCATGCCGCCGGGGTCGGAGTGGGACGCGACGCCGAGCGTCAGCTCCGGCTGCGGGCAGCGCGGGTAGAAGTTGACCCTCAAGCACGCGCCCTCGCCGCCGACCCCGCCGAACGCCGCCTGCAGCCTCCCGTCGTCCAGCCCGAGCCCCCTCGACAGTAGCCTCATCACCCTCCTGCACAGCCGCACCACCTCCTCCGCGTACTCCTCCGTCGCCTCCCGCAGGCCGCCGCCGCCCGCGGGGACGGACGACGTCGGCCACTTGTCGTGGCTCTTGAGCGCCGCCGGGAGGAGGTGGAGGAAGTAGTAGTCGCCCCAGTCGAGGGGCCCGCCCTTGGCCGTGCCGAGGCGGCTGCCGTACCCCTCGTACGTCGCCGGCGAGTTGGCGTACGCCTCGCGGGCCTCCGCGGGCCGCGCGAAGAACCCGCGCCACGCCGCGCGCGCCCGGCGCAGCAGCTCGGGGCGCACGCCGTGGTTCACCGCCTGGAAGAAACCCCACTCCCGGCAAGCCGCCGCCACGGCGCGGGCGGTCTCCTCCCCGTCCGGCATTGACATGTCCACCACCGGGATATTGTTCAGGCCGCCGCCGCCGTCCAGCGACGACGGCCGCTCGGACGGCGCCTTGACGTACCGCTCGGGGATCGTCGCGCCGCACGAGTCCGACACGGCCTGCACGCGCACCACCGGCTCCGGCCAGCCGGCGCCGCCGTTGAAGCAGCTGCTCATCGTCGGAGCTGACTGGCTAGCTAGTACTTAGCTAGTAGCTAGCACGTCATGCACTCGCACATGCACACGCACACGCACACGTTTTGCTGTGCTATATGTGCACCGTGATGAGATGAACGGTGCTAGCTCACTTAGCCCTTAATTTATAAAAGCGAGAGGATAAGGAGGAAGGAGAGACAATTTGCCTGCTGGCCTTTGCGGATCATTATTGAAGTGTTGAATAACAAAATTAAAATTGAGCTACTAGTGCTAGGTCATGAAAGCAACATAGGAAATAAAACACGTGCTCCAAGAACATACACTAGATTAAAGTGACTGTATCTCAAGTCATTAACAACCCAGTATGGCTTTTTTTGAACCGTAACTACTGCCCGTTTTAAATATGAAGCGCCGAAATTTTTAGATTGTTTCACACCGACGTTAATCAGAGAGGAATTGGAAGTTTGTTTTGCATTCTTAATTACGACCGGCCGACCGGGCCAAGAGAGTTATCTTCTTTCTCCTCTCTTTTTTTAACTACATATATATAGCTCAAACGTAATTAACTTGCATTTGAGGAAAAGTTAATTAGTATGATATAGCTCAAACTGCCACACAACTAATTCCAAGAACGCCTGCGAATAATATTATGCCATAATGAAACGATCGAACAGCCACATGGCTATGTATCGTGTGTTCGTGACACAAGGATTTAGAGGTGGGACGGGAAGGTGGGTCTTTTCCATCTTATCTCAATTCTAATTAATTTTTTCTTCTAAATTTTGCACTATCATATGAGAAATGAACTATATATATTAAGCAGGTTTTTATTCAGCTAGCAGGATTGCCCACTTGTATCTCTCCAAACTGGCATCACTGCCAATTTTCAATCTGGCAATAGGCAAGGGGAAATAATGCCCGACCGCTATCATTGCCGGTTCTTGAATCGGCAGTAGTAGTGATTCCATAAAAGAAAATGTAGAAGAACCTGCAATTGATTAGGGCAAATTGATACTATTGTTCATACAAATACACAATATTCATACCCATTTGTATACATCCATTCGTACCCACACACAACATTCATACAAATATCCCACAGATTCAAAACAAAACTTGCAATTGCTGGTAAGTGATATTGCAATTCAATTATGCAAATAAAATATCTATATATCTCACATGGCTATTCAACTTTGCAACAAACATCCAGAACTAATTAACTTGTTCAAACACACACACAGTGTCGGTGACATCGGCAGAGAGAGAGAGAGAGAGAGAGAGAGTCGGTGACATCGGCCTTCAGTGCCTCCTCTAGATCGGTAGCTCCCAGATCCACTCCCACCGGAGACCGGCTGGCCTAGCTCCCTCCTCCACCACTCCCACGACAACTAGATCAGAGAGAGAGAAGGCTTAGAGAGAAAGAGGGAGAGCAGAAAGAGGATAGAGAGAAAATACTTAGTTATCTCCTGTTGCAGCTACCGTCAGCGCCACTCCCGTTCCATCCCCTCCCCTCTCGAGCTCAACGTACGCAGCTGATGCAAATCCGTTAGAACCGCCACTGCCTTTGGAAAACAAAGGAATGGCCATTGCCACAGAAGGGCCGCGGATCTCCTACTTCCACACCACCAGATCCGGGTACCTGGAGGTCTGGGTACGTCGGATCTGGCCACCGCCGAGACATTTCGGCTTGTGGTAGGGAGAGGAGGTGGAGGTGGCTCCAGGACATGGGAAGAATGGGGCGCCGGCAACGCTAGCACAGGAGATGGATGACAGCGTTAGGAGAGAAGAGGTTGTGAAGGTGCTGGGAGAGGACTACGGTTAGGCTAGGGGGTGTGGAGCATTCCTAAATGTCCGATTTGTTTAAATCCAACCGGTGAATCTGAGCATTCCGATTTGCATCGTCTAATGGTATATGCACATTTGGGCATGTAAACATTTTCAAACAAAAGTATTGTCAACTAAGAAAATAAATGTCCTGTCAATATCTACAATTTTTATATAGAGATTGTCTCCATCAAAAGTCGTTTAACTTTTATATATATATATATATATATATATATATATATATATATATATATATATATATATTATTCAATAGAATTGAGAAATTCAAACACATATTAAAGCATGTATTGTTCTCAAATGAAAAAGAACATTATCAACAACAATGTTGTAGATCTCAGCGAATTCTATAATTTCGATGTTAAGTTTTCTTCATACAATTTCATATTAAAGAAGTTACTATTTTTATTAAAAAAAAGTTAAAGAGAAGACAACATGTAGTCTTAAAGCAAAACAGTTATATCAGGTAAGATCAGCTATAACCTCGAGTCCCTATCGGCAATCAAAGAGCAAGTTAGTTCTTACAATTTCAACTGTAACTTAGTCGGTCAAACCCAATTTATGCAACACGAAACTATAATGGAAATTATAAGGTCTAAACAATCTAAACTAACAAGAGTGATTTAGACAGTATCGACTTATTCAGATGATCAAAGCAGCCGATAAGGATAAATAATATTATTGAACTTAGATTGAATAATGTATATGATAAATTAGCGCTTGTATTGAACTTAACCGATGGAAGCCCTAGCCCCACCGATACAAGCAATTATAGATGGAACTCACCTCTTGCGAAAGATCGAACTAAACCGACGGAGCCAACTTGAAGACAAGAACTCATCGAGAAGAAAACCTTGTAAAAATATGGTGGTGATGCGCCAAAAAGTGATTATTGAATTGTTGTTGTTTACGAATACCCTAGCTAGGTGTACTATTTATACCCATGAGCATATACTAGTTCTTATCAAACACGACTCAAATTCCCCAAGGATAAAGCAAAAATTACAATTCCAATCGGACTATAAGACACTTTCCTAAAACTTAAAAAAAAAGGGACTCTACCTAATTAATAAATGAACCACCACAACATGTCTCTCTTGAACTCGGTCTCTCCTTTACAATATCAACGAACTTTCCTAACCGAGTCCAACAAGAACCCAACTTCTGGCCATTACCAGCTATCTCCATATTCATGCTGCCGAAATATTTCAGCCGATACAACTTCACCAGCCCTGGCCGATGCAATCTTCCAATTTCAGACGCCACAATCGCGCCGTCAATCTCGCTTTGCACTTTATCCTTATCTAACGGAATATGTCAAATTTTGCTGTTTACATACACATGATCAGAGCAACAAATGAAAAGTAGAAAACACTACCGGCCTGTTACTAACTAGAACATGCACAAAAAATATTCTCCAATCTTAATTACTTTCCTCAATCTCAATGATGTCTTAATTAATTAACCTATCTGCAAGTCAAGTCAAAATAGCCTCTATATGTTTATCGATCGATGGAGTAACTTTCAACTGGATTGACTAAAGACAGGGTAGACATAACATCAACTGTTCGCGCGGGTTGCTGCCTTCGTGATCTTCTCGAAATTGTTTTACTTACATGCATACATAGAAGCATGTTTGGTTAGATTTATCTTTCTTCTTAAAAACCACATGCTATATACGTATTTAATTGACCTTTAGTTCTAGCTAGTAAGCCTAATTCTTTTCATCTGATTTTGTAATAATATTTTGAGTGTACAAAAAAATTAATTATTATATAGTTGAAACATTCTTACAAATTATGTTTTGATCGATAATGATTGTTACATTCACTACTACAAAACATCAAATAAATGTCGCCACTATAGGTGCCGGAAGTGCTAAAACCAGCACCTATAGGCATTTTCCTACCTCTGCGGGTTGAAATCGCAAAAAAAGGCACCTTTAAGTAATTATATGTGTCGGTTCTAAATAAAAACCAGCACCTTTAATATGTCAAAAACTAGCACCTTTAATAGTTGGTGGGCCCCACACAACTTGAGCCGAGCCGAGAGCCCGAGACCGCACTGAGCCGTTCTTATCCATCCATCCGCTCCATCTCTCTCCTTATCTCTTTCTTCTCCTCTCTCTTTCTTCTCTCTCTCGGTGACATGGCAGGAGATGGTGAAGGAGGTGGTAAGGGAGGCAGGCTGCCTGCGGAGGGAGACGGCGGGAGGTAGGCGGCCCGCGCCCCTCAACTGCGGGAGGCGGTTGGATGGCGGCGGCAGGAGGTGCGACGGTGTCGACAGTCGGCGGATCCATCTCTCCCCCTCCCTCTCTCTTTGTGATTTGTTATTTATTCTTATTGCAGTTCATTTGTTGTTCATGTGAGATGTGTTCTTGAAATTGATGTGAGATCTATTAATGTGTCGATGTGAGTTCATCTGAGATTTATTGATGAGAATTGATGTGTTGTTCTTGTTCATCATGTGGATTCATGTGGAGTTCATCGGCTCGAAGTATCGGCTCCCACGTCAGCTCGAGGAGCCGGCTTTTTTTTTTGGCTCGTTGATTCCATATTGGTGCCGGTTTTTAAGATTGACAATGGTGTCGACGGAGAAATCAGTTTCGCTTTCATTGTGCCGGTTTTCCCAACCGACATTGATATGTGGTTTTGTAGTAGTGATTTTATAATCAATTTATAGTAGAATATTTAAAAATCACAAGGTTTAGAAAATTTGGGAAGAGTCCCGTGATAATCTATAATCAATTGTAATAGGAAACAACAGAGCCAATACTCACTCTGTTCTAAAATTTAAGGGATTTTGAACGGATGTGTCACTTCCTAGCACAACGAATCTGGGCAGATCGAACGTTTGTCTAAATTCATTGTATGAGTAAGATTCACATATATTCAAAAAAATTTTATATTTTGAGAAGGAGGAAGCACAATGTTCTGCTCAGTGTCAAAATATGGGATGCAATATTGTACTAGCCCCCAACTTTATCTTGTATTAATTTAATATATGGACACGCATGTGTACATCATTTGTTAATTTGATTTTAGATGATGGACTGATCGATGAGATGGGTGGCAGTATATATAATTATACCAATTTAAAATGCTCTACATGGGATTCTTCAATTGTAGTACTAGCTGAGAGGTGTGTGTACACCAAAGCATACATATCGTGCACCTTTATGTTTTTTATTCACTGTGTCCTTTTGTTTTTCTACAAGAACGATAGATATTAACTGAGGCCGTGTTTAGTTTCCCTCGTATTCCTAACTTTCCATCACATCAAATCACATCAAAAATTTTCCTACAAACATAAACTTTTAATTTTTTTTAAACTCCCAACTTTCTTTAAACTTTCAACTTTTTCAGAAACTAAACACACCCTGACTTTCTCCAGTTCCATATCTAATACTATATGCATCCTAAAATATAATATTTATTGTTTCCTCCATCTTAAAACAAAACCATTTTTTTCTATGTTTTATAATAAGCCACACATCATGGATGCATTAATTAGCACATCTCCCTCCTTTTAATTTGTTTTTTAAATCCTCTGCTCT